TAGATGAGGCATATTCAACCTGTGGGCGGACCAGGGACTTGTATGCTAGTTCTTTTACTTTCTCATTTTTAGTGATGACATTTCTTTTAATAAAGCCAAGGGATCTGTTTGCATTGGAAGTTATTCGAGATATATGTGTATTAAATTTAAGGTCAGCAGATAGATCTAGTCCGAGATATTTAGCATTTGTAACAGACTCTAGGATTTGGCCATGGAGCATATATTTGTGTTTAATTATGGTCTTATTTTTTGGTGATATGGATGACTTGGCATTTTGAAGGGTTAAACTCCATGTCCACTGCTTCTCCACAGAACCATATTGTCTAGATCATGTTGGAGAGTTGGGGGGTCTGAGGAGGAATTGATGGTTAGGTATACAGCAGTGTCGTCTGCAAATAATCTGACTTGGGATTTGAGGACAGAAGATGGTAACTTGTTGATATATAGAAGGAAACAGAGGGGCCCTAGGACCGAGCCTTGGGGCACTCCAGAGGTAACTGGGACTTCAGATGAGCAGTCACTATCCACAACTACTGTCTGTCTACGGCCAATAAGGAATGACTGTATCCAGTTTAGAATTTGAGGACAAACACCATGTTCTTGCAGGGTATCTAAGAGTTTAAGATGGTTTACTTTATCAAAAGCTTTGGAGAAGTCAAGGAGTATAAGATCTGTTTGTTTGCCATTTGAAAGGTTGTTCACAAAGTAATCAGTAAGTTCAATGAGTTGTGTCTCACATGATCGTCTTTCTCTGAATCCATGCTGAAGATCAAAGAGTATGTTGTGGGTGGTAAAGTGAGAGGATAGTTGAGAGGCAACTATATGTTCGAGTGTTTTACAGAGGATGCATGTAAGGGAAATTGGGCGATAGTTTGCTGGATCACTTGTATCACCTTTTTTGTAGACAGGGCATACGTTTGCACGGGTCCAGTCATTGGGAATATTACCGGTGGTCAGGGATTTTTGGAAAAGAACTGCAACGATGTCAGCAATCTCTTCTCTCAGCTCCTTCAGGACAATTGGTCTAATGTTGTCAGGGCCGGCAGCTTTGTTGGCATTGAGGTTGGCGAGGAGCTTTAGTACACCTGCCCTACCGATGATGATGTCATTCATTTGTGGGTACTGACAATACTTTCTGGGATCCATGAGTCTCAGTTTTTGTATACATTGATCTTTAAGTTACTCGTCCGAATTCCAGTTTTGAATTTATTTACTATATATTTAACTAAATTCTCTTAAAATTTACACTGGTCATGGGCCACCAGGCCAGTGCTAAATTCGATGACTGTAATCTGTTATTGTATTAGAGGGCAGGACGTGAAGTGGTTGAACACGCTTGAACAAGATATTTTTAGTGGCGGGCATTTAGATTTACCCTTGTCCGTCCGTTCTCTTTTGTGTCGGATATAACTCAAAAAGTATTTGACCTAGAGTCATGAAACTTTACAGGAATGTTGATCAGCATGTGTAGTTGTGCACCTGGGTATTTTTGTCTGAATTTATATAGTATTTTTAGAGTTATTGCCCTTGACTTAGTAAAATTTTGCAATTTTCAACTTGTGTCGCATGTAACTCAAAATTGGTTTGACATAGTCATGAAACTTTGCAGGAATGTTGATCAGCATGTGAAGTTGTGCACTGGATATTTTCGTGTGGATTTATTTTATTTTTTAGAGTTATTGACCTTGACTTAGAAAATTTTTGCAATTTTCAACTTGTGTCGCATGTAAATCAAAAAGGATTTGACATAGAGTCATTAAACCTTACGGGAAGGTCGGTCAGCATATGTAGTTGTGCACCTTGGGTTCCTCTTGTGGATTTATCCCGTATTTGTAGAGTTATTTCCCTTGACTTCGTAAAAACCATTTCATTATGTTGTGTTATTTGTTCCTTGAGTGCTTGAGTTAGAATCAACCAACTTTACAGAAATAATGATCAACATCACTAAATTACAGGAATAACAATGATAATAAATAATAATAAAAAAAAATACACAGTATATTTTCATTAGTTTGCCTTTTTTGGTGAACTTCAAAACTTACATAAGTGAATAAATGAGCATAAAAACCGCCCTGGATTTTCACTTATCAAATTTCAAAATATGTACATGACCAGTTTATAACTATAACCAAAAGCTACAAATCTGAGGCCCAGAACAGAGTGTGTCATAAACACTTCCTGCATGAATGGCCATTAAAAAAAAAAAAAAATCAAATAACATACAAACCCACTTACTTGAAAAAATATGTGAGAGTTTTGTAAATATTTAAGACACAGAAACCATTTTGTCAAGTTTGCAATGATTTTACTCGCTTGAACCAAGTGTGCATCAACTTCACGTCCTGCCAAGTGATTTGTATTTATTTCGTATTCAAATATCTTGGTATATTTCCATATGTAGAGAAATGTATTTGTTTGATTTCAGATAAGAATTGGTACCACAAGGCCACAAAGTGAGGAGTTCAACTAACTTGTGGATGATGTTCCAAGCTGAGGAGAGTGAGAGCTTAAATCTATAAAATGGGTCAAAAACTTTTGATATAGAAACTATAAAATCTTCAGTTAATTGAAAGAGGGCAAGTTGTACAAAATGCCATGGAGCTAAATATACATGGAGAAGAAACTGTGATGTCACACAGTTAAATTCAGTATTGGCAGAATTGTGTTCTGATAAGTTATCATATGTTTTGGGATTTTCAGAGATTTGATGCATCCTGGGTAAAAATAGCCAAAACACCGTCATATTGAATTCCCGGAGGTAGATAAAACATTTTTTTGCTTAAATAAGAAGCAATAGTTATTTATTGTAAAAGGTACTATACACACTTTTCTATACAAATATTTCTCTGATGAAAATCTATGTCGGGGTATGTAAACAATAATTCATGGATATCGTCCAAGTTTGAGAGTGCGAAAATTGGAGACTATTGAGAAAACCCAATTATCACCGAAGCCTGCAAAGGATTGTGGGTCTGAATCTAACTACCGGTATTATCTATTTTTAGAGCTTCCTATCTGTTGTATATATATATATATATATATATATATATATATATATATATCTGTGAAAATGCAAAGAAGTCGTTGGATTACCAAAGATCAACATTTCATTTGATTACCAGAGATCATCAATTCAGTGGATTACTAAGATTCTCAGTATGGAAGATTTGATGACAAGAAAATTATTAAACCGGCAAAAATTGGATCTTACAGCAAGGATTTACTCATTTCAGAAGACAGCAATAGAAAATGTAGGAGTTGCATGTAATACTGAAGGTTTCTTGCGTCATGTTTTGTACTGTTTAAGTGACGTTTCTTAGACTCTTTAAGTGATGTCCCTCATTCAATCAGTTAAGAAAATGATGAAAGCAAATTAAAATCTAGGAGTGACCTAGTCAAGTATTATAAATTAATGTTTTAACTTTTAGTGCTAAATTCAAAGAGGTGTCACATGTTACACTGTTTTAAAAAAAGGAATCTTAAGTCAAGTGTTATTGCCAAAGCTCATTGCATTCCAGTAACTACAATGATATATCTAAAGAAGTGTGTCTAAACAATACAAAAACAATTAAACTGTAAGGAAAATACTTTGTTTCATATGCAATCATGCTTTTTATTAAATTTAATAGTTTGCTTATGACTGATGTTGAACTGCTTGTCATTTAACTGGATTTAAAAGTGCACATTTTAGTTCACATCAGTACAATGTGCTTATGTGAAGTAATGTGATTGCCCTGTGTCCAATGGCATCTTGTATTGTCAGCAATTTCTTGTAATGATATCTTCTACAAAACTGATTATTTGATTTTAATCGTAATGATCCTTTGGTGGCCCTAGTAACAGTAATTCAGCTGTGGTCCAGTCATACCCAGTTGCTAGGAATTTCCAGTACAATGCAATCCTAGGCTATTCCAGCCATTCCTTAGATCATGGAAATACCAGGAACGTCTGGGATATCCAAGTTCTTTGAAATGCCAAGGAATTACTAGAAAAAATGTTCCAAATACCGTGGGCAGGTCATTCTCAGTCATTCCTAAGATTATAAAAATACCAGGAGTTACTGGTATTATCATAGGTCTTTGAAATGCCTGGGATTGACTAGAAAAATGTTCCAAATACCGTGGGCAGGTCATTCTCAGTAATTAGGATTTTCCAGTACAAGTCGATCTAAGGCATTCCTGGTTTCATATTTTTTTTCTAGTTATTACCAGTAGTTTTCAGTCGTTCCAATTACCGCCAGCCAGTAACTGGAAATTCCTCAGATTTCCTTGCATTTCCTAGGAATTATCCCTGTAAATATTCCTGGGATTTCCCAGTAAAATCCTAGTAAAATCCTGGTAAATTATCAGTAATTTCTGCAAGGGCAGGGCATTTATTTGAACAAACTTGGTAGACACTGTCTATATGATGTTTCATGCCATATATTTTAGCTCTAGCTCTTACGGTTTTCTAAAAGAAGATATTTTAAGTTTTTTCTTTCGGGATCAGGGGCACTGATTCATCCATACGTCATTCTTACTTCGAATGTTTTGGTATTCTAGAGTTCTGCTTGGAATTAAATTTTTTGAACAATTTTATTGTTGACTACAAAAGGATCATTCCTGTGAAGTTTGAATGAAATTGGCTAAGTGGTTTATTAGGAGATGTCATTTAAAGTAAAAGTTTCAAGGGACGCTGGATGAAAAGCGATCACAAAAGCTCATCATGTCACTTTGTGACAGGTGAGCTAAAAATAATTAAGACTTTGTAACCTTTGACCTAGTGACCCCAAAATCTAAAGGGGTCATCTACTAGTTATGTCCATTCAATATGTGAAATATGAAGACTTTGTAATAAGCAGTTTTCATTTTAATCAGAAGAAACCATTTGGTCCACCAACAGGCAGGCCGAAGGACTGAATGACCGACGGACAGTACCAAAACAATAAAGGTAATACATTATCAGACAGTCATGAGAGATTAAATTTCCAAAATATTTTGTGGAATATAAAAAAGATTTACCTTAAATCAGCCTTGACCACATACCATGGAGAAATGCCATCTGCCTGGCTGAGCTTCCAGCAAACCTGTCTTGCTAGTAAGCTTTTACCTTGTCCACCAATACCACATATGGAAACAGCTGCATTACAATTAATATGTTTTGATGATTTATTTACAATTTATTAAAAATGTATTAAGATTCAATGAAACATACAGTATGTTCAAGGTCAAGGTCAAAAGTTTAAGGCAATATATCAGATGATAGTGGTTAATTAGAGGTATACTGACTTAAAGTGACCATAATCAGAATGAGTACACCCTAATCTCTTTTAGGTCAATGAATCTATTTTATGGACCCCTGAACTTTAAAATAACTGTTCTTTTCAATTAGTTTTCTTTCCCAAAGAAACTTATTAATTCATCATTTAATTTTCTGCTTCATGTTTAAAGACATAAGCTTCTTATAAGATTCCAGTTTTATTTCTAGTATCTTATTTTTAAAAGTATAAAACATTTTTTTCATACAATAACAGAGCTCTCTAAACTTGAGCTCAAAGACTAAAGTGAATTTTTACCAAAGACTAAAGCGAATATTAACAATATTTACCAGAGACTAAAGTGAATTTTTACCAAAGACTAAAGTGAATATTTACCAAAAGAATAAAGTGAATATTTACCAAAGACTAAAGTTTAAGTGAATATTTACAATATTTACCAGAGACTAAAGTGATAATTTACCAAAGACTAAAGTGATTATTTATCAAAAGAATAAAGTGAATATTTACCAAAAGACTAAAGTTTAAGTGAATATTTACCAAAAGACTAAAGTTTAAGTGAATATTTACCAAAGAGGTGCTTATTATCATTGTCCTTGTTGTTTATCAAGTCTATCAAAAGCTTCAATTCAGTTTCCCTTCCAATAAACAGCTGTTTTGTTTCCACCTCAAAACCTTTTAGATACTTTCTCAGACGGCCAATAAACGTCTGTATCTTATCTGTGACATTTTCACCCAGCTCATGATGAAGTTGCAAATTCTTAAAAACTTGTTGTAATTTTAAAGCTGCCTGCAGTTTATCTTCATCTATGAATATAAAATATTTAAAATAAATTGATTAATCAATGACGTATTTCCACTTCTGATAAAAATAAAGGATTTTTTATGTAATAGAAGAACTGTTTACATTTGATAAATGGATAGAATGAATAGGTATAATATATATAAATTATACTGTTACAAAGCAGCTCTATTAAGAACCTTGCTCTGCGGCTAATTTTGAGTATAATCATATGTAAATTGATCCATGTGGTCTTTAAAGATTCAGGTCAGGGGTTAAAGGAAAAATTTAAATAACAGGGTTTCACAGGACAGACCAACAGGGATTGTATGCCTGCAGCGATCTAATGACACAATAGACTTATTATCAAGAAAAGGAATACCAAAATTGCCTGATATACATGTATTTTATAATTTGTCTATAAAAGTAAAAGAATACATTATATAAACTTGGATAAAGTTTGTATAAAGTTTATTTCTTAATATTCCATTGGAACAAATGGTCCAAGAGGTTAAACAAACGCATAATAAATGGCATGACAGTGAACAGCATATATATACAATAACATGTGTAAGTGGATAAGGTAGATTCAGTTATTATCAAATGATATTAAACCTGTTGATGATACTCTACGTTGCTCTATTCAAAAATTGTATATCATTATTGAACATACATATCAGAACAAAGGACACATAATGCTGAATAAACTAGAACTGCCACTATCATGGCGTGAATACCCCCGCATACCACTTTGTCAGAATCAACAGTGGCTATTTAGAGCTCAAGGACAACCTCCCTGCCAAATCTGAGGTTACTAAGCCAGTGCATTGCTAAGTTATGTATTCTACATGCTTCAAATGTGAAAATGTCAAAATCAATACATTGCGGACAGGACATTCTTTAGCAATTGAGAAGAAAAGCTTTTTTTTTGTCAAGGTCCTTGTGACCTTGACCTTTGACCCAGTGACCTCAAAATCAATAGAGGTCACCTTATAGTCATGATCAACATCCATGCCAAATATGAAGACTGTGGGTCTAAGGAATCTTAAGTTAATGGGTGGACAAACTTTTTAAAGTCAAAGTCCCTATGACCTTGACCTTTGATCCAGTGACCTCAAAATCAAAAGGGGTCATCTACTAATCATGACTAACCTCCATTCCTAATATGAAGACTGTGGGTCAAAGGAATTTTAAGTTATTGGGCGGACAGCTTTTTGAAGTCAAGGCCCCTGTGACCTTGACCTTTGACCTGGTGACCTCAAAGTCAATAGGGGTCATCTACTTATCATGACTAGCCTCCATGCCAAATATGAAGACTGTGGGTCAAAGGAATCTTAAGTTATTGGTCTGACAAGCTTTTTGAAGTCAAGGCCCCTGTGACCTTTGACCTCAAAGTCAATAGGGGTCATCTACTAATCATGACTAACCTCAATGCCAAATATGAAGACTGTGGGTCAAAGGAATCTTAAGTTATTTGGCGGACAAGCTTTTTGAAGTCAAGGCCCCTGTGACCTTTGACCGTGTGACCTCAAAGTCAATAGGGGTCATCTACTAATCATGACTAACCTCAATGCCAAATATGAAGACTTTGGGTCAAAGGAATCTTAAGTTATTTGGCGGACAAGCTTTTTGAAGTCAAGGCCCCTGTGACCTTGACCTTTGACCTAAAAATCAATAGGGGTCATCTACTAATCATGTCTAACCTCAATGCCAAATATGAAGACTATGGATCAAAGGAATCTTAAGTTACTGGGCGGACAAGCTTTTTGAAGTCAAGGCCCCTGTGACCTTGACCTTTGACCTGGTGACCTCAAAATCAATAGGGGTCATCTACTAATCATGACTAACCTCCATGCCAAATATGAAGACTTTGGGTCACAGGAATCTTAAGTTATTGGGCGGACAAGCTTTTTGAAGTCAAGGCCCCTGTGACCTTTGACCTGGTGACCTCAAAATCATTAGGGGTCATCTACTAATCATGACTAACCTCCATGCCAAATATGACGACTGCCTATCAAAGGAATCTTAAGTTATTGGGCGGACAAGCTTTTTGAAGTCAAGGCCCCTGTGACCTTGCCCTTTGACCTAGTGACCTCAAAATCAATAGGGGTCATCTACTAATCATGACTAACCTCCATGCCAAATATGAAGACTAAGGGTCAAAGGAATCTTAAGTTATTGGGCGGACAAGAAAAAACCGACGGACAGCCGGACGGACGGCCGGACGAGCTGATTCCAGTATACCCCCCTTACAACTTTCTTGTGCGGGGGTATAATTACCACTGTCTAGCAAAACTTACGGAAATGTAAACTTTATAATTTATATTGAATGAACCTGACAAAATACATGTATTTATAAAAAATTTATTGTATAAATTTATATACATACTTATTCGAGTACATGTATGATATTCTTGCTGAATCAAAACATAACCATTAGTTGTATGTTTAACTTGGCTATAGAAAGTGTAATTAAGTTTGATTTAAATCATTGAGTAAATTTGACAAAATAAAAGATTTAAATTATTTTTATATTTTGCATCTTAACTAGTGATAAAATCAATAAGTCTATCAAAAATATAAGAATTTATTGTTGACTGCCTGCTTACTATTGTCAGGCACACAAATAAACAGATCGTTCATTAAGGACAATTTACAACCTTCAATTTTTGTATACTGTGAATATCAATCCTTACTTTTGAAAACAAGTGTTTTACGATGTTAGACACATACTTATTTCTTATATACACAATAATACCACCGGACGCTCTTAAACTAGTTATAATACTACCATAGGCACTTGATGGCAAAAATATGTTTTTTATCAACTACCCTTGTGTCTGACTATCCGTTTTATAAACTTTTGTCTTATCAATTAAAAAAAATCTACCGACAGGACGTCTTTTTGAAAAATAGATAAATATATATATTTATCTTAAACTGTAAGAGATATAAATTAACATGAAACTTTGTAGGTAGATAGACCTTATTGGGTAGAAGTGCACTGTAAAAGATCAGTAACTCTGTCTTGCCTAACTTTGGAGTTATTGCCCTTTGTTCATTTTTATACTTTAAACTTTGTCCGGGACATAACTCTAAAACTATAAAAGATATCAACATGAAACTTTGTAGGCAAGTAGAAGAACCATAACTCTGCCCTGCCTAATTTTGGAGTTATTGCCCTTTGTTCATTTTTACACTTTTTTTGTTTGGGAAATTAAACTCTAAAACTATAAGAGATATCAACATGAAACTAAAATTTATAGGTAGATAGATCTCATTGGTTAGAAGTGCTGTGCAAAAGAACCATAACTCTGCCTTGCCAAATTTTGGAGTAATTGCCCTTTGTTCATTTTTTCACTGTGAACTTTGTCCGAAACCATAAGAAGTATCAATAAAAAACTTTGTAGGTAGATGGATCTCATTAAATAGAAGTGCAGTGCAAAAAAAAACAGTAAATCTGCTTAGCTTTATTTTGGAGTTATTGCCTTTTGTTCATTTTTACACTTTGAACATTGTCCAGGACATAGTTCTGAAAGTATAATAGATATGAACAAGACACCTGTAGGTAGATGGATCTTATTAGATAGATGTGCAGTGCAAAAGAACCATAACTCTGCCTTGCCTAATTTTATAGTTATTGCCCTTTGTTCATTTTTACACTATGAACTTTGTCAGAGACATAACTCTGACACTACAAGAGGTATAATTTTCTGTGTTCAAAACCTATTCGGGAAGCATCACCCAGTTCAACTGGCTCTTGTTATTTGTTTACCAACAAAAATATATAAGTTTTGATTTGAGTTTGTAAAATCAGTCAGCCTTATAGTCTAAATATTAAAACTACCTGCTGATGAACCAAACGTTCAGGGCTGTAATGTTGAAGGGTCCGGTCGGTTCAGCCTTGGCCAGACCAATATTTTGGCCAAATAGCAGGACAAAATAACAACAAAAAAATATCAAAAACAAAAATATGCCTAGCTGATTAGCAATTTGACACTTAACTGGCCCCTTATGCAAGGCGCGGTAATTAATATACAGACAACTACATGTAGGGTTACTATGAAGTCAAGGGTGAAGTTATCTTAAATGACATTAGTTGATATCAATGTGGCTTTGGACAGTTTACCATTTATATAAAATTACATGTATTATTATATACAAAATATAAGATCACAATTTTTTAAATTTTACTGCTGTTCACATACAAGTATTCTAATCCAAAAAGTTAAAAAAATTAAGATATCATGACGTGTACGTTGTCAAAATAGTTCCATGGAACCGAATCAACCAAAATATTTTTGTTTCTGAAACGAACAACGGCGATGTGTTTAATGTCTCTGATCAATTGATAATTAAGCTTAATTATGAAGTGCTAAATATGATGACTGGTATTATTGTTCATTTATAATTATCAGGTAAAAATAAAGAATTATAACAACATTAATTAATGTTTAATCAAACTTGGCACAAATTTTGACAGAACCATTGCCTTTGTGACAACATTTACATGCTCAGTTTTAAACTTTCTGTTACCATGGCAACAAGGGGATATCTCAAAAAGTCAAAATTGCCCAAAATCACTATTTTGGGTTGATTTTTTCCATCAAAATTGATTTCAAAGTGCTGCAACTTCTGAATGGATTGAGATAGAGTCAAGAGCTTTATAGCATTGGTTACACATTACCTTACGATCGACCTGGGGTCATTTTTAGCCTCTCAGAAGTACAAAATTTTCTTGGAGATGAGGGGGACTACCAGCCCCCCCCCTTCAAACCGCCCCAAACAGAAGGGGGCACATCCCCCTTCTGGCAACCCCCTGATGTTTCTTTTTGATAGGGGATGGGGCCGAAAAGTGATCACTTTTTCAGCAACATTTCCCAACAAAAAACAGTGTTTGAGGCCTATATAGTATAATTTTTCACTGTTTGAGGCCTTAAAAAAGGGGAGTGGCTGAAAATCCGTCAAAACGTGCTACAGTTGAGTTCACACTAAACTTCCCACCTTTGTGCACTTCTAGTGCACT